AAACTCTTCAAAGATGATGCCTGCCATAAAACACAGCAGGCACTCAGTAACTGTCGAAAATGAAAGGTGGGAAAGGCAGGCTAAGTGATATAGTAGTCTTCTCTTAGTGGTATTCAATTTCAACAATTCTACTTCACTGAAATTTAGTAAGAAGCAACAAGAATAGTTCTGATTTCCATTAGCTTTGCCTCAGGTATAAAAGAGAAGTTTGAACTAAAAATTATCCTGTTTCTCCACTTTAAGGTTCTACATTTTCATTATCAACTAGGTCTTTAACCAAACACGGATATCTATAACGTATTCAAGCATTAATTTATTCCATGTGTGGTAGATTATTCTCAAAATTAATTTCTCTTGGACTTTCTAGCTTGGTTTAGATCTATCTTCCTTCCTTCCTTCCTTCCTTCCTTCCTTCCTTCCTTCCTTCCTTCCTTCCTTCCTTCCTTCCTTCCTTCCTTCCTTCCTTCCTTCCTTCCTTCCTTCCTTCCTCCCTCCCTCCCTTCCTCCCTCCCTCCCTCCCTCCCTCCCTCCCTCCCTCCCTCCCTTCTTTCCTTGGTTTAGATCTATCTCCCTCCCTCCCTCCCTCCCTCCCTCCCTCCCTCCCTCCCTCCCTCCCTCCCTCCCTCCCTCCCTCCCTCCCTCCCTTCCTTCCTTCCTGTAACACACTGTGTCTGTCTCCCCGAGTACTCAGTCATTGTAAGAAGATGCATGCTGGTCACCATCAGTAACTCTATTCCAATACTCTGTTATATAAACAACCCATTTTACTCCAGGGTCACTCCTAAAATAGGAAACGGGTCTATCTTATTATTCCCAACTAGCACAAGGCCTGATATGGTTCAGGTGCATAATAAATACTAACTGAATGCTCTCAAGGAACTCCAAGATATGCTGGACTATCACCTAAAATATTAATAGCCAAAGAAAAAAGTTAAGTTATTTTGGTTTAAAATTTTTTCCTTGGCCTTTTCTTACTGTTGCGGATCTCTTTTTGCTGTCAATAATGCCTCTTCAGGAGCACAGCTCTGAAGCCTCTTACCCATTTTCACTAATATACTGCTGATTTTTTGTTCCAGACCCATCCAAAGATAATCAAGCTTATTAGAACTGTGAATCTAAGTGGATCTGGGTGGGGCTAAGTTGCTCTCCTATAAAGTAGAAGAGCTTGATAATATTCTTAAGGAAAAGTTAAGTGAATACTCAATATAATAAAAATGCATACACCATGCAAACAAAACAACAACAACAACAACAACAAAAAACACTACCATGCTTAATAGTGAAAATTTAGAAGCATTCCCATCAAAGATTAGAAGAAGACAAGGATCTCCAAAACTATTAACATTTTTCTAAAATTAACCATTTAATATTAGATTTAATTCATTGAAGGAAATAGAAGGTATTAATATTAGAAAAAAAGAAGCAACATCATTTACAAATGACAATTAGATTCTTGGAATAAACCAAAAGAATGAAATAAAACTCTTATAAACCATGAACAAATCAGTAAGCTGCTAAGCACTTTAGGAGCACTTGAAATGTACTCTGGCCTTCATTAGGCCTGGCCTCACAACTGGGTACTACCAATGTGAGACTTGCTCTATTATACAGAATACAGTCCAGAAACTTCTTTTCTGCATATATTGAAAACTAATCAAGTTTAGAAGAGTGACCCATGCTAACTAAATTTAAAGAAGGTGAATCATAAACCATAATAATTTGCTAATTTTTAGAAGAAAATACAAGTACCAAAAATGTACCTACTTCAACCTTAAATTCTGGTGTGCATTTTTGTGTAGTCTCATATGACTGACCATATAATTGTCCTCCATTAATAAGAATAGCCTAATATATAAGTATAGACAAAATTAGTATCAATAAAGATATAGCATAATGTGTTCTGATCACTGATAATTCCTCTAAGAGAAAATTTAGGACAGTAAGTCTGTTTCTAATAGTTTTTAGGATGGAAAGTGGCTTGTTTCTTACTAGCTATTCAAATAATAGTGTTTACACTTTATATATATATTTTAATATTTTTATTGATTTCAGAGAGGAAGGGAGAGGAGAGGGATAGAAACATCAATGATTAGAGAGACTCATTGATAGGCTGCCTCCTGCATGTCTCCAACTGGGGATTGAGCCTGGAACCTGGGCATGTGACCTTGATGGGAATTGAACCCAGGACCCTTTAGTCCATAAACTGATGCTTTATCCAAACTGGCTAGAGCTATACTTTAATACTTTATATTAAACTAGAAGCCCTGAGCACAAATCTGTGTGCCAATAGGTCACTGCTACCCTCCTAAATCTGTGTGCCAATAGGTCACTGCTACCCTCCTGTAGCTCTCCACCTGCTGCACCCACTGGCCTGCTCTCCTGTAGGCCCCCCCCCCCCCCACACAATAGCTTGCTGCCCTACCCCCTCCTGTAGCTCTCAGCCACCTGCTTGCAGTTTTCTGCCCCGCCCTCCTGCAGATCTGTGATCTGGTCATTATGCCTCAGGGCATAATGGATAATTAGCATATTCTTCTCTTACTATATAGGATTAGAACCTAGGACTTGTGTGATTTTTTTGTTTTCTGTTTCTTCCAGTACAACATCATGCTAACACATTATTTCTCTTTGAAAACAAAAAATGTAAATTAACAGACATTATAGTAAATATTATATAGTATAATGGCTTTAGTTCAGTAAGGTATATATAATAATATAGTAATACATCTGCATTAAGTCTTACATTCCCAATGTCATAATTAATTCTAAAATTCTGTTGCTTGATGTCTCCTCTGTACCAAATTTTGCTATAATCTATGTTGTAAAAAGTTAGGAGAATGATAATGAAGAAAGAGATAGTAATCACTCTTTAGAGGGGACATGATAAGTTTCTTTGAAAGCAAGCTATATTGCATTTAGTGTCTTTGTTGAAAAATAACAAAAAGACTTTGAATTCTAGAATCATTTAGCTGGTGAGATGCTCACACTATTTGGCAACTGGAAGAACAAATTCACATCTCCTATTTCAAGTTTTTTCCGTGTGTGTGTGTGTGTGTGTGTGTGTGTGTGTGTGTTAAAAGTGCAAAGGGAGAGCCCAGGTGATTGTGCTTAGCGGTTAAAGACTGGAGCTTTGCGGATTTGATTCCTGGTCAAGGCACATACCTGGGTTTCAGGTTCAATCCCTGGGCTGGTAATTGATGTGTTTCTCTCTCACTGATGTTTCTCTCTCTCCTCCCTTCCATTCTCTCTAAAAATCAATGGGGAAAAAAATATTCTATGCTAAGGATTAACAAAACAAACAAATAAAGTAGAAAGGAGAATTGAACTGTTCTTTCAGGCTGTCATGTGTATTTGGTTTATCTCTACCTTTCTCATTCTGTTTTTCTTGCTGTCTCTGATTCTCTCTCAGTCAGACTGTTATAGTTGAATTTCCATGTTAATATGGATATTCTCTAATTAAGCTATATAAACTAGAGTAGAAAAACAGAACAACAATCCTATCATATGAAACTGTAACATTCTCCACCTCGATGAAATGGACACATAAACTTAAAATAGTAAAATCGCTCTAATTGAAGTCATATTTCTCCCTTACTACTAAGACTTATTCTTATACCTGATCTCGGTAGCAGCACAATTCTCCCAAGTCAAAACCTCAGAAACAAAATGGACTCAATTCTGTCCAATATCTAGCCCCACCCATATGATACATTCCTCTACGGGCAATCTTTAACCTATCCTTCCCATTCCATTGCTATAACCCTATATGGTACTGCAATACCTTCCTTGAATTACTGTAAAAACCTCCTTATTCCCAATGCCCAGCTCTTCCCCACTCCAATTGAACTTTCATACTGTCACTACATTCATCTTCCCGAGGGATAACTCTGAGCATGGCAAACTTATTTAACAAACATTCAATGGCCTTCCCTGCCTTCTTAATGAAGCCCTAGCCAGCTTTAAATTTCCATAGAAAACTTCTATAGAACAACCATAAGTTAGCTAGCCCCCTTTCCTGGCCAATAGCAAAGTTATTTTAACCTTTGAAAAAGGAAATATACTGCACATTATGAAAAGCAACACAAAACAAAAACAAAAAAACAAGAGGGTAAAAGATCCAACCAACCCAACCCAACTCATGAACAAAGAATAAGCATGACAATTATTCAAGATGAAAGAAGCCAAAGAAAAGTTAGAAGGAAAAAAAAGTCAGTTGAAAAGGTTTAGTTGTAGGCAAACTGAAATGTTACTTCTTTGAATGTAAATCTAACCCTAATCCCCAGCCTCCATAGACTGAAAGGAACTGGAGGAAATATTACTGCTATATTTTCCTTATTAAAGTACACTAAAGTCACTCTCCATTTAAAGAAAACACCCAGAACTGATATGTAGCATGGCTAATACCTCAGAGAAGTTTTTTTTTTTTTTTTTTTTAAAAACAAGGAGCATACAATATAAATTAAATGAAACAATATAAAAGACTGGTGTTCACTTATCAAATAGTGTTTTATCTCATAACAAGATGAAGTTTGAAAACATTCTCCCATAAGAAGAGGAAATATCCCCCAGCAGTAACGATTCAGTACTCACTAATTCAGTGTTCACAGCCACTTTATAAAACATAATCTCTGCGAATAATGAGAATCAACTGTATCTTTAGGGAGTATATTTTATTTGCCACATGATAGTCACTAAAAGGGTTAACTTTAGATATCCATAATACATCATAAAGAAGACTGATTAAAAAAAAGTGAGTACATTTAATACAGTAAAAAGTCTAGAGCAAGGATGGCAAATAGACTTTATCTTGCACGTAAGCTCTGAAAACCAATGTGTTCTAAATAAGGTGTCTACTAAAGCTGTGCTTTGGCTCATTACAATCCATTAGTAATGGTCAGAGTCAGAGAAAAGATAAATCATATTATGTGTAGTATATATTTGCCATCCCTGGGCTACCGTACTTCAAACAATCCCATAGAATATACAGTTACAAAACTACTTACTGCTTCAACAGAGTTACACTCCCGTCTTGTTTCTAAATAACGTAGTGCTCGTTTTTCTTCTTCTTTTAATTTAGCATCTGCCTGTCCAGAGACAAAATAGCAATCATTTTAAGAATATCAAGAGAATAGCTCAAATTAGCACTTATACTAAGTTCCGACTTACATATTTCATATAATTCTGTACACCATTTTGTTGTAAATATGAGGGTGCCTGTGTTCTATAAAATCTCTCTGTTGAATCCAAATACGCCTTCTCAAAATTGTCCCTATAAATTTGAAGCTTATCTTCAGGATTAGAACAAAGGTTAACTGAAAAACAGAAAATAAAATTTTACTCTAATTATGATTAGCATCACTATTTTGAGTACCATAAATGAAATAACAAATATTGAGCAGTCTTTATGTACAAGGGGCTGACAATGCTTAAGATAACATAAAAATAAATAGGTCAAAATCTTCTGTATAAAAAACTTAAACGTTAACAGCACAAAGCAACAAACACCATAGAGAATATGATATTTTATTTTGAATAGGAAAGACTCTGACTTCTAACTTGATCAAGACACCATTCACAAAAGAAATGGGATTTGAAATGAGTTTTAAGGAATAAACTAGGATTTACATAGCTAGGTCTATCTAAAGTAAGCAAAAAATAAAAAAATAAAATTAAAAAAATTTAGAAGTAGAAAAGCACAAGGTCGAGTCAAAGTATAATGACTAGCTAAAGCCGGTTTGGCTCAGTGGATAGAGCGTCAGCCTGCAGACTGAAAGGTCCCGGGTTCAATTCCGGTCAAGGCATGTATTTGGGTTGTGGGCACATCCCCAGTGGGAGGTGTGCAAGAGGCAGCTTATCGATGATTCTCTCTCATCGATGTTTCTAACTCTCTAACCCTCTCTCTTCCTCTCTGTAAAAAATCAATAATATATATATATATATATATATATATATATATATATATATATACACACACACACACACACACACACACACACACACACAAAAGTATAATGATTAGATTGTCTGAGTAGATTTTTAAGGTTAATTGAAGGTAAGAGTAAGTGGTTGTGGAGAGCCTCAGATCTCAGGCTAAGTAACCTGCATTTAGCATGATGTACCACTAACTGGGTAAGGAAAATAGTATTTAAAATTAATCTTGTGAATAGTATATGAGTAAGATGATAACAATTTGATCCCTATAAGAAGACTATTTCAAAATTCCAGAAGTAAAATTTAGAGAAGTCCAAACTTTCGATTCAAATCCATACTTCTCTAATTTAAGTTGCTAAAAAGATTCACCAACCAATAAATGAGATGGACAAAGTAAATATTCACCACTCAAATATTAATTTTTGTAGGTTACTTTAAAGCAGAATAAATACCTTTTGTGTACTTGGAAAAGCATTTGGCACTAAAAGTTGATGTTGCTTGTGCTAATAAAGATACTTTTGCTAGTACTACTCTATGACTGTCTTAGAATTTGCATGCAAAGGAAATTATGATCATAAAAGTTCAGAGCATACCATAGGATTCTCTTACTCCAATGACCAGCTGGGAATCAAAAGCTTCTCCTAACCGTTCAGCATGTACCAGCTTCATTGCACTATCCTGAAGTCTGTTTTTTATATTTGAAAAGATGGACTCATTCCATGTATCAAGCATGAGCTAAGAAAAAGAGAACAAAATGCACAATTCATTTCAATTATTAATACACAAAGTACCACCTATACACAACTTTTTTTTTCCCCAGTGGGAGCAAAGGAGCACTTTCTTTTATTTGGGGGAATGGAGCTTGGAGTTCAGATGAGTTGAGGTTGAGATGAGTGTGAGTCTCAGAAAGAGAGGAGTGGGCATTTTGACAACGAAAATAGGGTTAAAAAATTAAGTACAAATACTAAAAAAGGAAATCAAATTCTTAGTCCTACATTCACTTGAATCCTTCAGGGAATCAGTATATTTAAATGTGGTAAAGAATACAAGGCAATTAATGGTAAAGAATATGCGTTTTAGAATCCAAGATAACTGTTAAAACATCAAAATTTAGTTATGTGGAAAATGAAAAAAAAAGTAAAACTTGTGAACTATTTTAAAAAGTTATAATTTATATATATTACTATTACTAATAATGCTATTTTTCTGTTTGAAATCATTACTTTTGCTTATGGTAAAGTTTGGTGTGGTATGCAATATTTAGTTTTAGACTGACCTTATTCTTTTTTTAAATATATATTTTATTGATTTTTTATAGAGAGGAAGGGAGAGGGAGAGAGAGTTAAGAAACATCGATCAGCTGAACCCTGCATGTGCCCGCAACCAAGGTACATGCCCTTGACCTGAATCAAACCTGGGACCCTTGAGTGTGCAGGCCGACACTCTATCCACTGAGCCAAACCGATCAGGGCATAGACTGACCTTATTCTTTATCAGAAGTGATTAAAATATGCACAACCAAAGGGGGGGGGGGGGAAATCAAACATAATTAAATTTGAATTCCAGCCCTTTTACTTATTTACCTGCTTTTCCATCTATAAAATAATGAAAATAATAATATAAATTTTAACTGGTTGCAAAAAGTTAAATGTTAGTTCCTTATAGCTCCAATGTTGAATTTCAGAAATACTGGTTTGGAACTGGCTGAGTAGCTCAGTTGGTTAGAGCATCAACCCAATGAGCCAAAGTTGAGGGATTGATCCCCAGTCAGGGCACAACAATCTACACTAATAAAAGAGAAAGATGCAAATAGACCTACCTTTGCGACACCCACCAGCCAATCAGGAGTGAGTATGCAAATTAACCCAACAAAGATCATGGGTTAATTTGCATATGCAAGCACTGAGAGGCTGAGGGTGGGGCCGGACACAGGTATTCCACACCGCCCCAGCTGCTCCAGGCCTCTGGGAAGTGTGGGAAGGCGGAAAAGCAGCTCTTGGCAAGAGCCAAGGCAGAAATTTGGCTCCCGCCAGAGTGAAGGCGGTGCCGGCAGCCAGGGGAAAGCCTATTCTTGCACAAATCTTGGTGCATTGGGTCTCTAGCATATTAATAGTAGTAGCAGCAGCAGCAGCAGCAGCAGCAATAACAAGAATAATAGTTACATAACATTCACTATGTACCTAGCTCTGCTCTAAATTCTTTCCACATATAATTCATTTAATCCTCACAACTTAGATATAACGTAAGTACTATTATCTACTTTTAGATATGAGGAACCTGGGGCACAGAGAGGAAAGCTGATGTTCCCATATTTACATAGCTCATAGTGGCAACACTGGAACCTGAATCCAACAACTGTAGTTCTAGACTCTATGCTCTTAATCATTAAGTGATGCTGATTCCTACAATCTGTAGGGAACAGTAAAAATTAAAGAAATAACAACAACAACAAAAAAACAAGAATGAAAAAGATTATGAAACTGCAAATTAAAAACCATCCAGAAGTGTTTTTTTCTTTTTTTGGGGTGGTGGTCATAATGTCTCATACTGCAGTTACTTCTACCACGGAAGATATTTCTACCAGTAAATATGTCTCAATTTACAGTAATCTTGTCAGCATTTGTAAGGTTAGGGCAATAATGCCCAGGCTATTACCTGAATGTTTGAAAGCTGGATTTTGTTACTATAACATTGCAGCAAGAAGTGAGAGTTGTTTAAAGTTCAAATTGCCTTTTAACTTTTCAAAACTGGTTTAATGTGATTCTCACAAGCAGGAAAACACACAATAAATGAGGACACAGAGGTTAGGTCAGAGCTGATTAAAGAGCTGAAAGGGATATCTGGGACTCCAATTTCAGAGCGTAGCTTTTTCCAATAAATCATGAGTTATTACTGGGCACCGTGCTTTTAACTACAAATAATGCAAAATATTTAGCCACAATTAGGTAAATACAAAGATACCAGAAGGTAACCTGATAAAAGAAGAGATTTTTGGGGCACAGAGAGGAAAGCTGATGTTCCCATATTTACATAGCTCATAGTGGCAACACTGGAACCTGAATCCAACAACTGTAGTTCTAGACTCTAGAACACAATAAAGTAATGTAATTTAGAGGAAGGTAAAAGTATAAAGAAAGAAAAAGAAAATAAAATCTCGAAGATAAAATTAGGAAAAGGAAAAGCAAGGAAGGTAATATTTGAAACACAGATCAAAAGCTTAACACCACATAAAAAGCTGAAAGAAAATTGAAACTAAAAATGGGAAAAAACATTATTCAATAAAATCCAGCAAGAGCTAGAAAGGAATTAATATGTGAAGCAGAAAAACCCACTTAATATGTAAATTACTTCCAAAAGTTTTCAAATCTGTCTAGGCTCAGTCATTATGTGTCAATTTATAAACTAGGAGATCACGGTCTGATTCCTGGTCAGAGTGTATTCCTGGACTGCAAGCTCAATCCCCAGTGTGGGGTGTGCAGGAGGCAGCCAATCAGTGGTTCTTTCTCACCACTGATGTTAATCTCTCTCTCCCTCTCTTGCCCTTCTTCTCTGTAATCAACAACAACAAAATCCTATAGAGGTAATATACAAATTGACCATCACTCCAACATACAAGATGGCCGCCACAAGATGGCTAGTAGGGAAGGGCAGTTGTGGGTGATCAGGCCAGCAGGGGAGGGCAGTTGGGAGGGATCAGACCTACAGGGGAGGGTAGTTAGGGGCCACCAGGCTGGCAGGGGAGAACAGTTAGGGGGACCAGGCCTGCAGGAGAGGACAGTTGGGGGGGACCCAGGACTGCAGGGGAGGACAATTGGGGGAGACCAGGCCTGCAGGGTAGAGCAGTTGGGGGGAACCAGGACTGCAGGGATGGGTAGTGGGGGGCAGCCAGCCCAGCAGGGGAGAACAGTTAGGGGCAATCAGGCCAGCTGGAGAGCAGTTAGGTGTCGATCAGGCTGTCAGGGGAGTGGTTAGGGGTGATCAGGCTGGCAGGCAGAAGTAGTTAGGAGAAATCAGGCAGGCAATCAGGCAGGCAACCAGGCCAGCAGTTGGGAGCTAGCAGTCCTGGATTGTGAGAGGGATGTCCGACTGCCCACTTAGGCCTCATCTCTAAATGGGCAGTCGGACATCCCTCGAGGGATCCCAGATTGGAGAGGGTACAGGCTGGACTAAGGGACAACCTTTCCCCCACTCAATGCACGAATTTCGTGCACTGGGCCTCTAAAATATCTATGTATCTATGTATCTATCTAGAGGTGTGTGTGTGTGTGTGTGTGTGTGTGTGTGTGTGTGTGTATATATATATATATATATATATATATATATATTTAAAGTCTTTAGATCATCTTTCCTGAAGAATATTAGAAAAAAGATGGGAAAACTTACCTTTCGAACGATACCATCTTCTACATTTGATTTTTTATTGCCGCCCTGTTTACCCAATAAAGTAATCTCTAGTTGACAAAAAGGCTTCGGTAAAATATCACATTGTGTAAAGAACTTTCGCCATTCTACAATATATGCTTTTAGCAAAGCTGTATCATCTTGATGGCTTAGTACTCGCTAGAAAAAACAAAACAAAAGAGAATTGTAACAATTTGAAATACAGGTGCTTTAAAGAATACTAGAACATTTTTATGCTATAAATTTAAAATATTTGTAGCATAAACTATCTTATACCCAAAAGAAATTAAAACATATATATCCAAGAGAAAACTAAAATATGTTCACATTGACTTATGATTTCACAATACATATATCTAATCATTATGACATATATATGAAACTAATAAAATGCTCTATGTCAATAATGTCATTTTTTTTAAAAACCTGTATCCATTATCACTTTATCTTCCCCTTTATCTCTCCCCTCTCTTACCCCTTCCTAGCCTTAAACAACCACTAATTTACTTTCTGTGTCTATATATTTGCCGGTTGTATCATAGTATGTGTCCATATTATATTCCTTTTTATGGCTAAATACTACTTTATTTTATCAAAGTACTAAATTTTGTTCATTTTTGTCCATTGACAGACATTTGGGTTGTTTTCACCTTTTAGCTATCATGAATAATATTGCTATAAATATCTTTGTACAACAAATGTTCACAAAAACTTGTGCACTTACCAATAAAAGAGAAAAGACTCAAAATCAGAAATGAAAGTGGAGACATACAACTGATACCACAGAAATACAAAGGGTCATAAGACTATTATGAATGTTATATGTCAACTAATCTGACAACCTAGAACTGATGAATAGATTACTAAAAACATACAGTGTACCAAGAGTGAATCATAAAAAAATAGAAAATCTGCCAAAACCGGTTTGGCTCAATGGATAGAGCGTCAGCTTGGGGACTGAAAGGTCCCGGGTTCGATTCTGGTCAAGGGCATGTACCTTGGTTGCGGGCATATCCCCAGTAGGGGGTGTGCAAGAGGCAGCTGATCAATGACTCTCATTGATGTTTCTAACTCTCTATCTCTCTCCCTTCCTCTCTGTACAAAATCAATAAAACATATTAAAAAAAAAAAAAAAGAAAAAAATAGAAAATCTGAACAGACCAATCACTAGTAAGGAGATTAAATCAATAATAAAAAATGTCAACAAACAGCCCAGCTGGTATGGCTCAGCATCAACTTATGGACCAGGAGTTCACAGTTCGATTCCTGAGCAGGGCACATGCCCTGGTTGTGGGCTTGATTCCTGCAGGAGGTTAGGGAGGGGGAAGAAAAGGGAGAAGGGGGGGAGAGGGGGGAATGCAGGAGACAGCTGATCAATGATTCTCTTTCATCATTGATGTTCCTATCTCTCTCCCTTTCTGGTCCTCTCTGAAATCAATAAAAATATATTTTTTAAAGTCAACAAACAAAACAAAAGTGCAGGACCAGATTGCTTCGTTTGTAAATTTTATCAAGTATTTAAAGAAGAATTAGTACCAAATTCTTCTCAAATTCTTACAGAAAATAGAAGACAGAAAAAATACTTCCAAACTCATTTTACAAGGCCAGCATTACCTTGATTCTAAAACTAGACAAGAGTGCCACAAAAAAATAAAATTACAGGCTAAAATCCCTGATAAATGTAGATGCAAAAACCTGAAAATATTAACAAACCAAATTCTACAGCACATTGAAAGGAATATACACCATGATCAAGTGGGATTTATTCCAGTGATGCAAGAATGGTTCAACATTGGCAAATCAATCCTTGTGATAACATCATGTTGACAGGATGGATAAAAATCACATGGTCACCTTGGTAGATGCTGAAGATATATTTGACACAATTCAACATACTTATATGATAAAGATTCTCAACCAGGTGGGTATAGTGAGGAAATATTTAAACACAATAAAGTGTATAAGTGACAAGCCCACAACTAATGTTATATTCAATGGAGAAAGCTGAAAGCTTTTCCTCTAAGGTCAGGAACAAGACAGGATACTCACTCTCACCAATCTATTCAACACAACATTGGAAGTCCCAGCCAGAGCAATTAGGCAAGAAAAAAGAAATACAAAGCAACCACATTAAAAAGAAAGGGGAAAACTTCCTATTTTCAAATGACATGATGTTACATAAAGAAAATCCTAACAATGCCACACACACAAAAAAATAGAATAAACAAATTCAGTATAGTTGCAAGATACAAAATCACAACCCAAAAATTCATTGGATTTCTTCTATACTGTTTGTTTCATAGGAAACTATCAGAAAGAGAAATTATGAAAACAATCCTATGTACAATGCATCTAAAAGAATAAAAATACCTAAGAATAAATTTAACCAGGAAGGTGAAAGACCTACACTGAAAACTACAAAACATTGATGAAAGAAACTAAAGAAGGCACAAAAACGACCAGGTTATGTGCCCAGGACCTGGAAGAATATTGTTAAAACTAGTGACCTGTTGCAGGAATATTCCTGAAGACTTCCGGAGAGCTTCCCTTTGCCACCGCCACCTCTCCTGCCCCCCCACCTCTCCCACCGAGGTAGACAGAGCGGAGGTGGGGTGGGACGGCCCGCCTCACCGTGCCCACAGCCACTTGTGCCACCGTCTCTGCGGCTGTGAGCACTGCCACCACCGCTGTGCGCTGCTAATGCTTTCCCTCCAACAGCCGCTGCTGCCTTGCTTTCCACTTTCCCTCCCTCTTCCTCCTATGCTGTCTTTAGTCTTCACTCCTCCCTCCCTCTGAGTATGCAAATTAACTGACATATATGTTGGGTTAATTTGCATACTTTCTCTGATTGGCTGATGGGTGTGGCTTGTGGGTGTCGTGGAGTAATGGTTAATTTGCATATTACTATATTATTATGTAGTATGTGCATAAACCCCAAAGCAATCTACAATGGGGAAAAGAACAGTCTCTTCAATAAATGGTGCTGGGAAAATTGGACAGCCACAGGCAAAAGAATAAAACTTGACCATCTTTCATCATATACAAAAATTAACTCAAAATAGATTAAAGACTGAATTTAAGATCTGAAACCATAAAAATCCTAAAAGAAAGCACGGGTAGTAAATTCCTTGACTTCAATGTTGGTAGTGTATAAAAAGCAAAAATAAACATGTAAGAGTACATCAAACTAAAAAGCTTCCAAACATCGAAGAAAATATCAACAAAATAAAAAGGCAATCTACTGAATGGGAGAAAATATTTGCAAATCATATCTGATAAGAGACAATATCCAAAATAGATTTTTAAAAAATCATACAACTCAATAGCAATGCAGAAACAAACAAACAAACAAAAAAAAAAACAATTAAAAAGTGGACAGAGAATCCAAATGGATCTTTTCCCAATGAAGACACACAGATGACCAATAGGACATGAAAAGATGTTCAATATCACTAATCATCACAGAAATGATAATCCAAACCACAATGAGATACCACTTCACACCTGATAGAATGGCTACTATCAAGAAGACAAGAAGTAAGTGTTGGATGTGGAGAAAAGGGAACCCTAGTGTACTGTTGGTGGGAATGTAAATTAGTACAGCCACTATGGAAAATAGTATAAGGTTCCTCAAAAAATAAAAAAATAGAACTACCATATGATTCAGAAATTCTACCTCTATTCATCCAAAGAAAACAAAGACACTAATTTGAAAAAATATACAGTCAGCTCTCTATATTTATGGGTTCTGCATCTGTAATTGATTTAATCTACAGATGCAAAACTCAAAGATACAAAGGCAGACTAAGGAACTTGAGCATCCATGGATTTTGGTATCTGCTAGGAATCTGTGAACCAACCCACCGTGGAAACTGAGGGAGGACTATATGCATCCCATGTTCACTGCAATATTATTTATAACTAGTGGTCTGGTGCATGAAATTTGTGAACGGGAAGGGGGGTTCCTCAGCCCGGCATGCACCCTCTCCAATCTGGGACCCCTTGAAGGATGTCCTACTGCCAGTTTACAGGTATTGGGCAGTTGGACATCCCTTTTGCAATCCGGAATTGCTGCCACCAGCCCCTCACCTGCCTGCCTGCCCACCTGATTGTGCATAAACACTTGGCCTGCCAGCCTGCTCGCTCCCAACTGCAGGCTGGAAGCAAATATCTGGGATTTATTTATTTTCTATAATTGAAACTTTGTAGCCTTGAGTGGAGGCCAAGGCCGGCCAGAGCGGGCAGGAAGCTTGGTTTCCTCCATTGCCGGGGGCAACCCAAGCCTTCTGCTGGCTCCAACTCTGTCATCATCTTGGTTGGGTTAATTTGCATACTTGCTCCTGATTGGCTGGTGTGCATAGTGGAAGTATGGTTAATTTGCATGTTTCTCTTTTATTAGTGTAGATAGCCAAGATATGGAAACAACCTATATGTCCATAGAGAGATGAATGGAGAAAGAGTATGTGGTACATACACAGAATGAATTATTCAACCATAAAATGAATTATTCAACCAAAAAATGTCATGCCACTTGAAACAACATGGATGAAATTTGAAGAAAACTACTGTCAGTTTGAAAAGAGGTATTAGTGTGAGAAAAAATAGATTTATGTGAGCTGACATGTGGATAAAAATACATGGTAGTGGGGGCATGTAAAGGACCTATAAAAACTGAATTTTTAAATCTATGCTTTTAACAATTAAATTTATTGCGGTGACATTGGTTAATAACCTCCATGTAAGTTTCAAGTGTACAATAATACATTATCTGTATACTGCATTGTGTGCTTACCTCCCAAAGTCTAGTCTCCTGTCACCATATATTGACCACCTTTACCTTCTTCAACATCCCTCCACCCTCTTTCCCCTCTGGTAACCACCATATTGTTGTCTGTGTCTATAACTTTGTTTTGTTTGTTCACTTGTTGTTTACAGCATTTTTTAATTGAGGATAATAATGTATTCTCTTAAAAGAAATGTCACTAAGGGGGGAAAAGAAGCAAACGATTATCATTTAATTTAAAAATTTATTTAAGAAATACGTCAAGTCAATGTAATATTTAAAATTACTTTAGGAAGTCCTACATTTATAGTATTTTTATTTTATAATATTCTTTGAGTAAAACCTTAAAACAAATATAATATAAAAAGTGGAACTTACTGCCTGTGCTTGCTTAATAAACTCAAGAATATCTTCTTTTAAAGCCTGGTGAATTTTTGCTGGGCCTTTGTCATCCCAGAGACAGACCGCATGCACATCCCTATAAAAATAAAGCAGGTGAACAAATATTAACACTGGAACAAAAACACACACAAAACTCATGTTAAGTTCTGTTTTTATAGTTTCCATAGACTACAGAATCCATTCATATGAACCAAAATGTTTTGTAAGTTGTCTCACATTAGTTTCTATTTTCTTTATCATTCATTGTTTTCTTTAAATCTCTGCTAGTTATTGCATAATATATATATATATATATATATATATTTTTTTTTTTTTTTCTTTTTTCTTACCCGAGGATATGTTTACTGATTTTTTAGAAATAGAAGAAGGGAGAGAGGGAGGAATTGATGTGAGAGAGAAACATTGATGCGTTTCCCAGACTGGGGATTGAACCCCTAATCTTTTGATGTATGGGATAATTCTCCAATCAAGCAACCTGGCCTGGGCTGCATAAATATATACATATATTTTTAAATCCTCACCTGAGGATATTTTTTCCATTGATTTTTAGAGAGAGCGAAAGAGAGAGAGAGAGAGAAATATCGATGTGAGAGAAATTCATCAATTGGTTGCCACCTGCATGAGCCGGGGTCGGGGCCAGGGCCGGGGAGGAGCCTGTAACCAAGGTGCCTGCCCTTGACCAGAATCAAACCCAGAACCCTTTGGTCCGTAGGCTGATGCTCTATCCACTGAGCCAAACTGGCGAGGGCTACATGAATATTTTTAATTATAAAAGTGTACTATCTCTTGCTGAAACTGGTTTGGCTCAGTGGTAGAGCATCAGTCTGCGGACTGAAAGGTCCCGAGTTCGATTCCGTTCAAGGGCATGTACCTCGGTTGCGGGCACATCCTCAGAAGGGAGTGTGCCAGAGGAAGCTGATCCATGATTCTCTCTCTTCGATGTTTCTATTCCTCTCTCTTCCTCTCTGTAAAAAATCAATAAAATATATTTTTTTAAAAAGTATACTATCTCTTAATCCCATTCCCCAAAGTGAATTACTATTAATATTTTCTTGTGCAAAGCAAGTATACTAGTAAATCCTATTAATTCTTTAATTCAACATAAGTAAATTAGTCTATTGTTTTAAAAAAATAGTAATTTAAATCCTATTATTGTGAATCTTCTACACATTCATTGTATTTACACATTAATTACTATTGTGTCTCCTTTGTTAAAAAAGACAAAGACAAAAAGAAAAAGGAAAGATCTCATAAACTGATATACAATAACTCTAAACTTATCAAGTTGACATATTTTTAACCAAAGAATATTCATTGCAGAAATATATTTAAGATTAATACATATCCTAAAAGTCAATTTCTTAATTAAATTATAGTACAGGGAAACATAACAAGAGGGTAGTCTTTTATTCAAGATTTATCAATTTATTTTATTTTATTTTAAATATATATTTTATTGATTTTTTACAGAGAGGAAGGGAGAGAGATAGAGAGCTAGGAACGTTGATGAGAGAGAAACATAGACCAGCTGCCTCTTGCACACCCCCTACCGGGGATGTGCCTGCAACCACTGTACATGCCCTTGACCGGCATCGAACCTGGGACATTTCAGTCCTCAGACGGACGCCCTACCACTGAGCCAAACTGGTTTTGGCTATTGAGTATTTTTTATTAAAGATTCTTTTATTTGGAATAGGCTCCCTAGTGACTTATTTAGTACCTTCTGTAGTCCCTGCTATAAAAAATGTCAAAGAAATATAAACAAAACACCTCCAGAATTGTAACATTATCATAATGGCCAAAGAGTTTGTTTTATATTCAGATTGTAAGGAACATCATTATATCCCAAAGTTCTGTCTGCATATTAACTTTTTAAAATATATTTTTATTGATGTCAGAGAGGAAGGGAGAGGGAAAAACAGAAACATCAATGATGAATGAGAATCATTGATCGGCTGTCTCCTGCACACCCCGCACTAGGGATAGAGCCTGCAACCAGGGCATGTGCCCTGACAGGGAATCTGTGACCTCCTGGTTCATAGGTCAAACCTCAACCACTGAGCCCACGCCAGCCAGGCTGCATATTAATTTGAACTTGCTTTTGTCATTTGTTTAATTCAGCTTAATAGTGGTATCTGGTCCAATGTCTGGAATGCAGTAAGCTCACAAATATTTGTTAAGTAATAGCATAACAGGCAACATCTGGCTGCTCAATATATGCCAGATTATATTTTAAGCTGTTTTAACTCATTTATCCTTCACAGCAACTCTAAAGGAGTATTATTTTCATTGCAATTTTACAGATGTGGAAACTGAGGCAAAGAGAGGTTAAGGAGCTAGTATAAATGGTGGAACCAGGCAGTTGGGCTCCAGAGGCCTCCCAAACCATTTTTCTCGCACTCCTCCAATCCATCCAACCAACATAATCTTTATGAAACTCAAAAATCACAGCATATTACTTCTACATTTAAAATCATCCAGTGGTTTTCCACTGCTCTTTGAATAAAGTACAAAATGGTTAATTGACTCTATAAGAAGCTGCAGTACATCTGATGATTAAAGAAATCTAGAGTTGAAAAGAAGAAACTGATACAAAAATAGATTATAACTCAATATGTTCACCCCTATTACTATGTATATAAACACAAGGCATAAGAGAGTGGTGGAATAATATTTTAAGAAGTAACAATGAGTAAAGAACTGTGGAATACTATGGTGTCTGTAGTGAACTATAAACAAATCAATGTGGTTAGTATGTGAAGTGGGGAGTGATAAGCAAGAAACTAGGCAAATTAACCTTATTTTTAGCCCCTAAGTTCAATCATGGTCCTATTATACCCATTTCTGAAATGTCACTCTAATTTGGATATTTCCATCCATCACCACCAGTACATAATAAAAATCATGATAATCTCTTGCTTATTACAACAAAAACCAGTATGAACTGACTGCCGTGACACTCTACATATACTGATTTATGTTAGTATAGGTTTTCCAAGAAGCAGATAGGGTTAGAAGAACAAGAGATTTATTGAGGTAAATGTCTGCGAGGGAAAATGGGAAATGAACTACAAGAAGCTGGGCAAGGGATAAACCTACAATGCTGTTCTAATCCCTGCAGGGAAGAGGAGAAAGGAAGGTTGTGTAGTAAGAATCTCAGACTGCAGTGCAGTTCTAAGTTTGATAAAGCTGTGGATAGTTTTGGAGCAAAAGCCACTCATTAGAGGAAATCTAGGCCTCCATGAAATAGGATTACCACTGCATATTCAAACCTTTGCTGGGTACATGCCAGAAGGACTCAAACATGACTTGCATCTCAAAGGCAACAGGGGATGGTATGATGAAGGATGTGGGATTGGGTAGCTCTAAAACATCTTACCCAAGAAAGAATCAAGCTTGATAAGAACTTATTACAATTTCTGTAGCTTCCTTTTCTCAACTTATAGGTATTGCCATGTGTTGATATATCAGAACAAAATGTCAACATATTCCTTATTCAAAATACAATACTGCTCACACAATAAAAAGTCAAGTATCCTGCTCCATTTTCTAACATGTTTTGAGGAACCTATATATATAAAAGGCTAAGTGTCCATTCAACTGTCCGACCATTAGGCATGACACACACTGACCACTCAGGGGGCAGATGCTCAACACAGGAGCTGCAATGACACACACTGGCCATTTAAAAATAAATGGCACCATGGACCTGGCACCGACAAACCAACACTTGGCTTCCCCCAAGTGGGACACAGGCCCCGCCACCACCCCAGAGCCACATCCCACCAAATTGCAGCCAACGCTGCCAAGACCCCATAGCACAAATGTGGCCCACAGCCCAGCTCAGCCCAGAAATGGTGCCTGTGGGCACCAGGTAATGACATCATGTAGCAATACTTGGCTTCTTCTCCCTAGTGACCAGCCTCCTTGACGTTTCTTCAGCCCAGGAACCCAACTTGCTTTATAGCCAGGTGCAAACATTTTATTTTACAGTTTAACCAAATGTTTGTTAAGTATTTTCCTGTGCCTCATCTCATTTCATCCTTACAGAAGTCCTAAAATAGGTAGATAGGAGGACTCAGTAGAATCCTATTTTCTTTTCATTAGCAAGATGTAAATAGTGATATTAAAATATCTCTAATACATTTCCTTTTAATGTGCATGTATCCTATATAATAAAAGTATAATACACAAATTCTCCCCTTGACCAGGAGTTTGGCCAGGAGAAGGGAGGGAGGCTGCAGTTAGGGACCCCACAAGTGCATGAATTTCTGGGCCTCTAGTTTTATAATGTACTTGAAGAATGTATTATGATAATACCCTTAAAGCCCTCCATGTTCCACTCCCCATCCTACTTTCTTCCATCCCTCTCCAGAAGTAACCAAGCCTAAATTTATATTTCCCCCAAGTTTTGTGACATGCTATGAGGATTTCTAAACATAATAGAAATTTTATCAAATAATAATTTTTAAATGATTTTTTTCACTCAACATTGCTTCTGATATTTACTCATTTATAGGTTCATGCAGTTCTAATTTATGTACTTTATTTTGTCAAATGGCACTTCAACATAAAAGGGAAGAGGCAATAGTGAGCAGTGTGTGTGTGTGTATACATATATCCTATATAATAAAAAATATGCAAATTGACCCTCATACCCTCACAATATGGCTGCCTACAACCAAGCCAGCAGGGGGGTTAGTGAGGGAAAACCAAACGACTGAACAATCAGGCTGCGTGGAGCAACCAGGCTGGCGTGGGGGGTAAAGGGGGGGTGGGAGAGGGGGGCAGTTGGGAATAGCCAGGCCGGCGGGGAGGGGGGGCAGAGTTGGCAGTTGGGAGTAGCCAGGCTGGCAGCAGGGGCAGCAGTTAGGTGCAACCAGGCTGGAAGGGGGGGCAGTGAGAAGCAACCAGGTTGGCAGGAGGGGCAGTTGGTGGCAACCAGGCAGGCGGGTGGGGGAGGTCTTAATTTCATATATATGAAAGTAAGCCTGAATTAGTAAGAAAATACTCTCTTGAAATAGATAACCAAAGTGCTTTTAAAAAGAGACATACTACAGGGAAATCACTTTTAAA